GACGAATCTCAGTTGAAAGGGTAAGAGAAAAAAATTTCCAACCTGATGAAAATGAAGATGACTATGGGATGTCTGGAGGTGCGAGTAGAATGGAGAGGCACAAAACGCTGGTTGACTGCGTTCTATGTGAATGCGATATTTGAATTATAACAGATTTCTTATTATGATCCGATTCGCCTCGGTCTACCCCATTGTCTCTTCAGCACTAATCCGGATAACATTACAGGATGAAGCACTCAATTCATTCATAAAATTACCACTTTATGTCACGAATGAGTCGAATCTACTCATGTCATCGATGACAGTACGTAATGACATTCATTCACTTGTTTGATTTATTCCCAGCCACACATCTTTATAATAAAAATGTTAAAATCTTAAAAGGGAAGAAAGAAAGCAATTATATCCAAAATGAACTATTCAGAAAGATGTGTGAATCATGCAAAGGAGTAACTTTCAGACACAAACTCATGACCCTCTTTTGGCAGAGGGGCCTGCGTCCAACGATGACTATGAAGTACCTATAACATTTGGAAGAGAAAGGTTTCAAATCTTTTGAAATGCTTAAAAACTCATAGGTTCACTTTTGAAAATTTACTGAATTCTGTTTTATATAATATGGAAATTCGTAATTTGTTTATTACATGTCCATTGAAAGAGTTGGTAAAAATGTCTTTCATAATGTTCAAATTTTTAATCAGTTTATACTTAACCTCTGGTGAAATTATAAGCCATCAAGTTGGTAGTTTCTTTTATAATACTCAATTTTTTTTTAGTTAGTATCAACTCAAGTAAAATCATTAGTCATTATGGAGGTACATAGTTTCTTTCAGGATACTTAAATTGTCATTTAGACTATACCTAAACTCTGGTGAAATTATTAGTCATTAGTCAGATGAAGAGTTATATGATTCAAATTTTCATATAAAGCACTAGTTATGTAGATTGAGTCAGTATGAACATGTCTGAAAAAGCTATTGTATAACAAAAACGGTGTTAGGGTTTTATAAACCGTTCAGTGAACAAGTTCATCAAATCATTCAGGTTCATAAATTTATCGAAGGTTCAGTTCACAGACACTGAAAATGTCTTGATAGAAAAAGGTTTCAAATATAACATTGGAAATGAAAATAGCACTAACAACTTTGAAATTTTGGAGATCGAAAGAGAAATGGCATTAGGAGGGGCATTGAATAGCATTATTAACAAATACCAGGCGTCACATATCATAAAATCAGAATTATTTCATCAGTTCGGACTTCCATTGTCTAATATAATATAAATTGATTTGAAATTCCTGAAAAAATGGATATTTGAACACATCCATTTTCCTGACTTTATCCCGATCTAGCCAGAAGGACCCTTATATAAGGTCGCTGTTATCAGCATTGTTTACCTTCTGATTTACCACTTTATGTTCAGTTTCGGGTGAAGTGGAAAGATAAAGGACTGTTTATCATTCTCACCATATGTCACCGCACATGTTTCGTGAGAAATACGAAATCAATTAGCGGATTAGTCCTGGATGCAGGTTTAATTATCTTTGCCCGATAAATATCGTGGCATATGGTCTCTCTGGGTGTTATCACCAGTTTTTCTTGATAAAGTGGAAAATTGGTTGGCGTTGGGAAAACAATATGCACTTTGAAAAGGATAAAAGCAAAATATATGATGGAATTGGCCGATACTTGATGAAAATCCATAACTTACTTATTCAAAAAATACTTTATTGGGAGATTTTCACTAAACGATTTTACAAAAAAGCAATACGTGTTTCGCCATACAATGGCTTCTTTGGGCGTGTCTTTACTAACTAATTCTACATATTCAATGAATAATATACCTTATTTTACAATTTGAAGTAGGTACCTACATTTCAAGTATCTGATTTTTACCCAAGTTTGTAATGAAATAAATTAACTCAGCTTATGTCCCAGTTTCCACATTTAAAAAATATTTAGTAACTGGNCACTTGTTCAGAACTATTATACGTTCTGTAAGCTACGTTTACGCATTCTTTCTTCAAAAAACGAGCATTATCATTGATTGGTTAACTCAAATATTTCAGTGTCCTTTAACTGATGTTATTGCATATTGAATTTGGGTTGCCCAGGTCCATAGCTTGATTTTGTAGTTTTTTGGAAAACTCAGCTCTCTCTGGAAATTACTCTCAGACAGTGAAATATTCAATATTCGGTGAAGTATACTATTGAATACAGCAATTTTCTGCTAGTAATGGTGTGTGGAGGAATCATTTATGATAATGTCCGTGTAAGATGGTTTGTGGAAAATTGCAAATTCATGTTTATGGATGGTGGATGGAATTGACATATGTCTATCTGTAGCAGTAAAATAGACTAAGATATCATCTACGTATCTGTACCAATACAAGAAACTATTAGTTAGCCGATTATCATGGATTTCATACTCTATGTTATCCATGAAAATTTCCGCCAGCAAGGGACTCCGCCAAAGGGTTCTCCATTATTAGTCCTTCACTGCATGAATATAATTTTTCGTCAAACTGGAAATAATTTTGAGATAGATAAATAGTAAGTAAATCTAAAATTTCCTGTTTTATCAGTGGATTCACGTGGTTTATGTCTAAGGGACACTCAACCCAGTATTTCGCCAATTGAAAAAATTGGACTGGTTGAGTGTCTCTTAGAATTGTTATCGAACAGTGTCATATTTGGGTGAACCAACCAATAACATTGCCCATTTTTTGAAGAAAGAATGCGTAAACGTAGCTTACAGAACGAATAATAGTCTGAGTTAATTTATTAAAAACAATAAAGACAAAACTTCGGTCAGATAGATCAGGAGTATATAAGCTGACTTGTGGCTCTAGCCCAAAACTGCATATTGGCCAAACAGGTAGAACATTTTCCCTAAGAAATAAAGAGCATAGAATAGTTTTGTTAATAGAAAGACCAGCTCCACATTTGCAAACCTCTTTTTAGCAGAAGGATATGAGTTCAATAATGCATACGATGTGTTGCGATTTAGAAGATCTTCTAGAATGTTTAGAAATCAATAGTTTCAGAAATTCGGGTAATTTACTGAATTATCAATTAGAATTGATAATTTCCAAATGTGGAAACTGAGACATAAGCTTAGGTAATTTAATTCATTACAAACTACAAACTAGGTACTTGAAATGTGGGTACTTCAAATTGTAAAGTTAGGTATATTAAGCATTGAATATGTAGAATTAGTTAGTAGAGACATTCCCGAAGAAGCCATTGTATGGCGAAACACGTGTTGCGTTTTTGTAAATTACAATACCCATCTGAAATCTATTGAATTTTCAAAGCTAACACTGTTCCCAAACACCAGAACTACAACACTCTTCTCGACGCCCGTTTCACAAGCCCAGTTGTTATCTTCAGAGAGATGAAGTTCACTTATTCCTAGCTCTGAAACTAATCTCTATTTATATCTAACAGGGTACAATTTCCCTTCAAGAAACACATCAATGATTTTGGGTAAAAAAAGAAAGAAAGAATATCAAATGATTGAAAGAGTGTATCCCATCCTCGTTGTTTTTCTATATCAAAAACTTTTTAATTGTTGAGGGGTCTTCTGAGGGTCAATGGATCCGATATGGAGATGATGTATTTGCGATTTTTGACACGAAAACTGTAAGGTGGATGATTTCGTATCAACTGCTAATATCAGATTTCCGAACATTAAGTTTACATATGAAATGTAAAACAACCAGGAGTTTTCATTCTTTAATGTTTTAGTGATAATAAGTAACCAGAGTTTAGAAGTTGATGTTTATAGGAAAAAATACCAGTACTTTTACATATATTCCTGTTAGCTCACCCTATTTTTCATAACACAAAATGACAGGACTAAACTGTTTTGTCCATAGTTTTCTTACTCTCTTCTTGCACGGAGAAATATACGATATAGCTGAACGCAACGAGTATAGTCCAGGGTTCCTCCAGGGTCCATATAAAACAGATGGGTGACCTTGTGCCTCCGGTTTCCGGGGGTGCCACAGTTATTCCCTCGAGTATTTCTGAGCGCAACGGATAATGGCAATAGTGAGATGCAGAATAGAACGGGACTGAGAGAATCACCCTGAAATACACCCCTTCTGAAAATGACCCACCCTGTTTGGACTCTTGCTTGACCAGATGTTATGGTGAAGCGAGTTCGCCAAAGTGGTATCAGTTGTTCAATGCATCTCACTATGTTGTCGGGTGCCGCAAGGCATCTGAGCAAATGCAAGATGAGCTCATGCGAAATCAAATGCCTTACGGTAATCGATCCAGGCCATAGAGAGGTTAAGCTTATATTGTATCGAGTCCTGCGTTACACATCTATCGATGAGCAGGTTCTCTTTACATCCAGCGACTCCTCTCTTCGACCCTCTCTGCTCATATATCCGTTCATATATCCGAACACTCGGTCAACTGCGGTGGGTATTCGTGTGTATAAGATGCTTGTAAACAACTTATAACACAAATTCAAGCATGTTATCGGTCTGTAATTCTTAGGAATCGACAAATCTCCGCTTTTGGAGATAAGAACGGTCCGCCCCTCAACAAACCAATCCGGAATCGGCTGCTCTCCATCCAGCCTCGAGTTGAAAACTCTGGCCAGATGGCGGTGGGTACTTGGTAGTTTTTCCACCAATAAGTGTTCAGCCCACCTGGGCCTGGAGCAGCAAAGTTCTTGGAACCAACAAGGACCCTTCGAACGTCATCCGGGGTTATCGGGTTGCACAGTTCATTGGGCTCAGGCTGTCGAAGCTCTCTGTTGAAAACTTCGAACTGCGCTAGGGCTGGAGTGTCTAAGTTGAGTGGCTGCGGGTGTTCAAAGATATACTTCCAGAAGGATTCCACCTGATCAGCGGTCAGCGGATTATCCACAACACGTGGAGGCTCTTGGAATAAGCGAGAAGGTTTCTCGCGGAACCTAANCAAAACTGGTCAGGTAAACTGGGGGATTCCCTGATGAGTTGGGAAATGAAAATGTTTGAAATCTTACATTTCCACCTGGGAAACTCTGTGTATTTATGAATACGTTCAGTAACAAAAAACAACATTTGTCACAGACCCAAAAAGCTTGTAACAATCACACATTCAATGATTGTAGTGAAAGTAAAAGTATGGATACTTAGGTATTAGCGTTAACCATGTGGGTATATATTAAATCTCGAAATACTCAATTTTTGTGGTCGTTAGAACATTTTTAGTTTACAATTTTAAGTCTTTCATATTTTCACACCATCTCGCTGAACAATTTTCAACTTTAGAGGAAAAATTTATCTCTTTATAAATAGATTCGGTTTTTGAAATTTCTATTTGACTTTATCATAATAAGTTTTTCCCAAAAAAAAACATCGAAACACACTGTATATATTATGATAAGCTGATTTTCCCTAAACAAATATTAAATATGTACAAAAATATCGATTTGTCGAGTACATATGTCTGTCTAGAATATTCAATTCTTTTTGTAAGTATCTTTATTCTGATAACCTGTCACGTAACCAGAATCGTCCGTCAAATTTTTCCTTCCTGCCACGCCTTTGCCTTTACCCGATTCGTCGAACCTTTGCTTGTGCGTTCCAGTGTACTTCGATGAGTCGGTGAGTCTGTCCACTGTGCTAGTAGCTTTCACTGGCTGGAAATAAAATGGATCTGTATGAAAATATTACTTGCACCGCAAATAAAAATAGCTAGTGATCTAGATATCTTTATAAACTGTTTCGATTTATTTAAATAGTGATAAGATAAGGCAACACAAGAGTTTTACAAAGGTGAAAACTGAAAACGTCAATATTGAGATATTTTGATGGCATTCCTTAAAAAACATTTTTTTGTGGAGGGCTCAATATTTTATACTATTTTTTGGGGTTATAACCTTCCACAATCTAAAAAAATAAAAGTTACATCAATAGAGAATCTGCTGAAGTGTAGTAAGAGCAAACTGAAAAGTTACTGCATAATGTAAACTACTACTAAAATAAATTATTGGTTGCCTCTCCAAGAGATGCTACATACTTCAATGCCCTTTTAATCCAGTCATTTTAAGTTTTTTTAACCTCAATCTGCGGAAACATTCCTACTGAGCTAAATTTCGGTATACACCTCCATTATGGCGTTTTAATAAAGATGTGAAAATTCGACATTGATATCGTGCCGGTTAAAAAAGTTATAAGGATCAAAAGATCACGAAAATCAGTTTTTCGCGAATATCTCGCGACCTATGACTCAAAGGTCAATAAAGGTCATTATAAAAAGTATTCCTCATGCGATTATCTACAAAAAATGTCGCTTGTATTTTTCTGTAAAGTCAACCGTTTTCGGACTAGAGCGCTGAGAAAGCGAGTAGAATGCACTCACATAGGGTATTGTATACCGTATACATATGTATACTTGAATAGATTGAAGTCTACCTTGTCATAGCATTATCAGCATTTTCAATCAACGACCGTTCCCCACACCATGGGGTAAGTGATCATTGGGTCCGAGCAAGCTTGTCCGATGACTATCTTTTAGGCTTCGTAAAGCGTATTTATGCCTTGTCAGGTAATCAGTATCTGTACCTGAATTTGTACCTGTATTCGTACCTGCACTTGAACCTGGAACATTAACAATCTTGCTGCCTGTTGTCCTGTTCGTTATTCTCGAATTCCTTAAAGAATTAGATCGGCTAAAGACAAAAGACATCCATTATCAGCAGCAGGGGTCTATCGCATTCCGTGCACTTGTGGAAAGGTATATATCGGAACCACCAAACGATCCATGGTAACAAGACTAAAAGAGCATAAAAGGAACTGCAGACTAGGCCAAACAGACAAGTCAGTTGTGGCAAAACACGCACTGAGTAAAGGAGACCACAAAATTTTGTTTGAGAACACAGAACTAATTGCCCCCAACCAGGGATACCATAGCCGACTGGTACGGGAGGCAACAGAGATCCACAAACACACGGATAATTTTAACAGAAAAGAAGAAGCGGTGACCCTCAATCAAATATGGAACCCCATTTTAAGGAATTCGAGAATAACGAACAGGACAACAGGCCTCAAGATTGTTAATGTTCCAGGTTCAAGTGCAGGTACGAATACAGGTACAAATTCAGGTACAAATACAACTGATTACCTGACAAGGTATAAAAGTTAGTCATCGGACAGCAAGCCATGATGGTTAAACGTCTGAAGAAGCTAGCCACTCGCGCCAGCGAAACGTCAGGAAGAAATTCCAAAAATCCACGGCTTTCAAATCCGAAAAGCAACGACACCGAAACTCTTGACATCTCCATCCTGGTGTAAATTACCGAATACAGGATAAAAAGGTCTGCTGAATGATTATTTCGATACAGGTATGTTCGTTTCTTGTGGAGATTGAGTTAGCCGGAGAGTATTCTACACTAATACCCACAGGGACGTAGCAATAGGGCTTCGGTACTCACACAGCAGTTTATCACATTGTTGCTGACGACTTTCACATTTTTTTGTTTAGCATAACCTGGATGATATACGTTATGACACTTTTCACATTTTATAACTTGTTTCACGATAGAGTGTTCGCATTTATTGCAATTATTGAGAGAAGTGTTCGACTGTACGTTCGACTCGCCCGCCATCTCACCTCTCTTACTTCTTGTGTTCAAAAATAGGGATTTGTTTTTCATAAATAACGATTTCCACGAATACAACACATGTCGCGTCGTAAGGATGATTTACGATTACCATTCTCTAAACGCAACATTTCCTATAAAGCTCCAGCTCGAATCGGCGCAAAGATTTTCAACAGCTTATCCTCCTCCATCAAAAGCTTAAAACAAGAACGTACCTACTTTCGAAAAAAAAAACTCAAAGAATAACTGACTGAGAAATGTCTATACTCTTTAAATGAATACTTTTCACTTGAACTTTTATTTAATGTGAATCTGTATTTTTATAGTCAATATTCTGTGTACTATGTATATGCATATTTATTATGTAACCATGTTTCGTAGTGTTATATAATCTAGTGTTTCCTAATATGACTAATAACCAGTCCGTGCAAAGCTCATTGTTAAATCATCTGAAAATGGAATTTTTTAACAGGTGATGATCGACTGTATTGCCAAACATGCGCCAAACTAACTGACTGTTATAAGGAAACAAGTATAGCTGAGGCACCAGTCAATCTAATAATAACACTGATGATCTTTCACCGCTATGCCTACTTCCAAATTGAAACTAAATCTATTCTTACCCCAACACCGTGATGTCCTGGAGGTCCACAAGTTGTCAACTTCGTCATCATCTCTTCAACTTCGACTTTCTTATTTTTCGCCAGGTCCTCCAAGAACTGTTTGTACTGGACGATTCCAACTTTCAATGACTTCAGCTTTTTGAAGTAGATGCCAGTATCCGTGGTCGTGATCTTTTTCCCGTCGATGATCTTTGCTTGCTTCATCCATTTGTCGCTGTTGGACAGGGTGATTTGCTTGCCATCTGACTTCGGGTCCCCGAATTTTGCGAATACTTTGAAGTTGTCTTCGAATGTTACGCTCGTCGGTGAAGAGGGAACGGGAGAAGGAGGAGCAGGGGAGTCACCATTTTCAATTTTTAAATTTTCTATTCCTGTGGTTTGAACATTTACTTCTTGTTCACCAGACATCGCCTGAAATGATATTGGATATGTAACAGTTGCCGATAACAATACAGGCCGTTTCTTTCATCATGTGGTAACATTGTTATATTCTAAACCGTAATAGATACGAAGACGATTAAATGGAAAAAAGGGAACAATATAATGGTCAAAGAAAATTAATGGGGACTCCCACCCTTCTCGAGTTATACGGGGAAAACCAAAAATGGTGTTTTTCGTTTTTTTCGAATGGAATTGTTATTTGGGAGAATACCAAAAAATGGAAAAACAAAGTTATTGTATTCAAATTGTACTATGAAGATGTTGTAATAGATATTCCATAAAACGTTTCGTGTCAGCAGGGCCACCATCAACTTTTTTCGATTTCTTCAAAATATAATTCAGACAACTCAATAAATTCGACAGGTAGGTATTAACACAATGAAAATTCGTACTTTTTCGTTTTGGAAATTTTTATATTGCCGTAATCCTTCTTTCAAGGCTTATTTCTCCCTAGTCAATTAAAGTTTTTAATATTTTTATAATTTTCAATCCTGGAAGTAACGAAAATATCAGTTTTTGGTCAAAATTTGATTGTTGTATAATTTGGTATGATCAAATAGCATCTCAACCCTATAGGCTTTGCTTGGTTCTATGGTAGGAAAAATGAATGCGTTGTTGATATCTGTTGAGAACTGTCAGACGTTTATAATAGGGGAGCCCAAGCGGGGATTTCGGGATTTACTAAAGCGCGGCAGACTAATATACAGGGGGATACCCTGTACTCGGTTAAGTACCTCCACCGAATATTAGCCCCATATATAAGGCCGCCTGTGAGGGATGAAGGATCAGATTAGTACAAAAAAATTGATCATCAGAAAATCTCGAGCGTGTCAGATTAAGGTAGGGTGACTTAATTACCTGCTAAAAAGTGTATATTCCAGTAATCTGACAATTTGAGGGTGACGTAAAGAAAGGGGAGGGCAGCAAAATTTTAAAGAAATAACGTCATTTCGACATTCTCGAGTGTAGCTAATTTTTTTTTATTTTGAATGAGATAATTCAAGGATAACGAAAAATATATAATCTGACGATTTCCGCAAGCTTAAATAACAAACATTCGTCAATAAAGTTTAATGCGTGCAGCTGTGTGATACCTATATTTCCCTCTCCGAGTTTCTATTCCTCTATTCTCTATTCACTTTTTCTCTATCAATTACTCTCTCACTCCGTCCCCACTCTGAATTCTGTTGACATGGCTCCATCACAGCCGATCACAGAGACTCGTTCGTTCAGTTTTTTACCACTTTTATTTGTAACTAACGTAACTGCAGTTTTGTCCTATAAGGCCATTTTCAAACGTATACAATATAAAAGTTTGAAAATGTCTTTATAGGACGAAACTGCAGTAACGTTAGTTACAAATGAAAGTGGTAAAGAACATAAAAAGTTTCATTGAAATGGGTNGGCCAGCTCGAACCCCAGATCTTACTCCTTTAGATTCATTTATCTGGGGATACATGAATGATAAAGTTTTTTCAATATCAAGTACAGATATCGACCATCTCAAACAGAAAATGAGAGATACATGTATTATTATTACACCTATTATGCTAGAAAATTACCACAGAAATTGTTTGGACCGACAACTGCATTCAACAAAGAGGTCGTCAATTCGAACATTCAGTGTAGATTATCATGTACCTTTGATTTTCTGTATTGGTTTCACTTTTTCCGAAAATTAGTGATAAAATAAATAGTTTTTCTGTTTGATTGTTGTCACTGATGATGTTGGTTATTTCAAATGAAACGCTATAAAAATATTAAATGTGATATATCCTTGGATTGTGAATTTATCACTTCATCAATATCTGTAATAAGACAGGTCTGTATTAAAAAAAAAATTTAAGATGGTCATGTTGACACGAAATGTTTTATCGAATATTTATTATTTCATCGTCATAGTACATTTCGAATACAACATTTTCCTTCTCCATTTTTTGATATCCTCCGAAATAACAATTCCATTCGAAAAAAACGAAAAACAGCATTTTTGGTTTTCCCCGTATAACGAGAAGGGCGAGAGTCTCCGTAAATTTTCTTCGACCATTGTATTGTTCCCCATTTAATCGTAATGTTACCACATGATAAAAAAGAACGGCCTGTATTTATTTTTTGAATCCAATGTGAATTTATTATTTTCGTTTACAGCTTGAAATTTTAAGCGCACCAAGAAAAAAGCTATAGGGAGCACAATATAGAAAAAGGCTGAATATAAAGATTTGTATGTTCCACAATCAGACAACTGTCCTTTCATTTTTGAATTTTTTTTAATTATTTTCTGGTTTATGATGTATAGAAACTTATTCACAGCCTAAAATTGTATTAGTGACAATCACATTTTGGTTTTTTCAATAAGTAAGGTAACTATTTAGCAAAACCTATTTCGTGTCTGATTGTGGAACACTTTCCCCTACTTCTATTTTCTACTAAAACTATAAATGTTGTGGTCATTTTAAAAACAGCAGACGGTCAATTTCAGATTAAAATTTTGAATGACTACATAAATTATAGGATTACAAAATGAATTATATAAGTCACTCATTGTTAGGATTTTGATAAATACTTGTCGTTTCCACTTCATGCCATCATATATTATGACTCATTAAGATATTTATAGAATCTCCACATTTTTTATCTGGTATTCAGTAACACTTACTGAAGTGTGAAATGTTTTCAAAGTCGTAGATTATTAATTTTCTATCAAATTCTTAGCATTCAATGCCATTTTTTAATGAAAATTTATGCTTCCAATTTCAGGAATGGAGTTCACAATTGTTTTTTCGGCAACCGTCCGGGAAGAGTTACATCACTGTTGTCATTGTAAATATGAAAATATTGATAAATGCAGTTGATTATTACCATAGCAGTGAAATAACGACTGACAGCTATTTGACAGAGGATGTAATTTTGGCTTAATTGGCCTAAAAATCTGTTAAAAAGTATAATGTTAGTGAAGAAAAATATGAGCATAGCCACAATCTCGAAGGTTATCGCATTTCTTATTGAAAAAAAAAAGAAAAATGTTGGTTATAGAGTAAAATAAGTCTTCAACAGCATGCAAATCAACTACTCTAATTCTTCTAGTCTTAGGTGAATTCAGCTGTATTATAACGATTATGGCATTATGACATGAACAATGGTCAAGGTGGTTACATTGAAATATTGAATCATACAATAAAAAAAATCTACCTAGGTAACATCATATCCATTAGGAATCACACATTAAAAGGTAAGACCTTGTTAGTCCTTAGCTCGCACAAGTTTCGACTTCTGGGAGTTGTCGTTCGTAGGGGTGCGACAGCTGGTTAACGGAAAACAGATTTTTTTAAACAGATTTAAACAGGTTGGTTTCAATGGACTCTTTCTTTTATCCTTCTTATGAATATGTAAAAATATTTATACATTTTTACACATTTATCTAGATGTTAGTAATATTATTCAAACAACTTGTTTTTCTCTCGAGAAATTTCCTATTTTAAACTGAAGAAATATAGGTTAAGTTGAAAAACAGCATAAGCTGAACTTCGCCTTTCATCGATTGTTACACTGTGTTTAATATGTAATTATTCGATGAATAAAGCCGATTATTATCNGACTTTTTCCATGCCTTCCCTTGGTCTACGGAAATAAAGATTTTTTGATTTTGATTTTAAAGAAATGCACCGTATATCCCTCGTACAATCGATTAGACTGCGTACAATCACTGCAATCCCATGATTTAAAAAATGGAACTTTTGTACAAAATTAATTCATGTATAACAATTTAAGATAAAATAAAAATTCCCCTCATTGTATTACACAATTGTCAATGTGACTGCTTTGAATTTCTGAAAAAATACTGAAAAAATATAATATACGGGAGTAACTTCCCAAAAATATATTGTATTTGAACAATTTTCGACTGAATTTTTATCTATTTGTGGAAAGGGGATTTCTCTGTATCAAAATAAAACTTTTCTGTGAATTCAGTAAACAGTTCTTTCGAAAAAGTATCTAAAAAACAAATGAGGCATATTCATACTCTCTCTAGTGCCAGTCTGTAGCTTACATGCGCAATAAGGCGGTAGTAACACTATCGATTTTCCATAGCAACTAATATACTTTGTTATTGAAATGAAAAAATCTATACTAATAAATAGATATCGGTATCATTTCACTTGACAAACCGCCTAATCAATAGATTAACACAAACCTAGAGAAACCTCGCTAGTTTAAAAATTGGCATTACGTTATCCAAACATTTGCTCACGTCTAGCGTCATAAATCACTTGATTTTGAATGTATTAATATGAATGAGGTAACGCCGATCAATGCCGTATTCAAAATATACTCACACCGATAACTATGCACTTTAATCAACGAACAGGATATTTAAATATATCGATGCGTAAGCCGAACAATGTTTTTAAACTGGGCAGGCTGATCCACCATCTAACTCCCGCGAAAGCTAACACCAAACTGAAAATGGGTCGGGTCTTTTGATTATCTTATATTTACTTAGCCATTAATTTAAAATGTAGGTAAACACTTAGCACCTTACACCTTGCCAGAATTCTCTTGATAATTATTTGTTCATATCTAACGATGCCTTTTGATGAAATAAGGAATGTTTATTGATAATAATTATCAATACCTATATAATGGCAGTACGACAATGAACATCATTTTTCAGTTAGAATATTCTCATTTAGTTTTCGGTTTTACTATTAAAAATATCAAAGTTTTTCCAGAATAACAAAAGTTTATTTCAAAAAATATAACAAAATATTGTTTATGATAGTTGTTTCGATTCGAAAATTATGCACAAACACAAAATCATGACGCCCATTGTATTGCATAATTCTAAATTACCTACTCCCGTTTGGCAAAATATCGATATTAATGTGTTTCTCTTCAGGAAATTATTTAATTATGTGTCACAAGACCTCCCTTTCCATTTAATATTTTTCCTAGATGGCGCCCAGTCGCCATCTTGAAATTTTCATTTGTCTATTTCACTTCAAATT